CCGGAAGGGGCGAGTCGTTAGTCGGGGCGCATCGATCGGGCGACGCATGCGAGTCCGTACTTACGGGGCGGCATGTAGGTACATAGGGACCCACGTGTACGTATGTACACCCGAGAGAGACAGATAGGTCTATGGGAACAAATTACAAGTTAAGCTTCGCCGTATGCGGCGACTCCCGGTTAAAGCTAGTTTAACTCGAACCCACCGCGAAACTCTGTCAACTGGTAAGGCACGGGTAGATTCGTAGCACCCTTCATCCACTCTAACCCCTTCGTGCCGGCGCAGGCTCTGAATTGTTAATTCTGATTACTTCTGTACCCCCCCCCCCCCTGGTACTTCCGTTCCCCGTCACCCCCGAGACCCGTTCCACCCTCGCGACTAATGTCTCTCCATTAACGTCGCACCTCCGAACTCGAAGGCAACGTCCCGTCTAAGAGGATCCGGTATTCCTGGTCGTGCCTGATATTAGATAAGGGCAAGAAGATCCCACGTGACGGGTTCTTCGTTGAATGCCAAGTACCGCGGAGGAAAAACAGTCATCGTACGCTTAAGCTGAAGTGGAACCCGTTGAGAAATTTAATCGACGTCGGTAAAAAGGATTCCTCTAACTAGGGAGGTTTTAACCTAGGGACGCTCCCGACGTTCATATTTATGTCGACAGCTGTGTCGTATTATATCCAGTGTTGGATGGAATGACATACTCCATAGGTTGTTTCCTAATAATGTTTCTGGAGAAATCCAAAGTGAAACTCAAGAGATCCCCTGGATTCGTGATTTTTTAATACTCTAATTGACTGTCGGGTGTTGCCCTCCGCCATCTGTAGAATTTCGTGCTAACTAAATTTTCTCTCAGAGATCTCGACTTACCTTCCTCTTATCGAAGTCCATGAGACACGCTTTTTGCCTTTATCGTGTTCAAATGTACGTTTCTCGACTTCTAGACTGGTCTAATTTGTAAGTTGACATTAACACTTGAAACCTCCGTTTCTCACCTTCTTCTCAGAGCCTTGAAGAATTGTATATTTGTATGTCAAAGCACGAGGCCATTTCGGTCTGGGATAAGTAAAAACAAATGATGTTTGATTATTGAAATTTTGCAAGTCAGGACATTTATTAGGTACTTGCGGGTCACGGGCTAAAATTTCGGACAGTGGAATACCCTTCGAGAAAAATGTCTTATTCGAGTCGATTAGCTTGGGGATTCGCTTCACCTTGAGTCGAAATAAAAGCATCTGTTCTTGATAAAGATAAAATGCTCCCATATTTCCGAAGCGAGGGGAGAGACTCGGCAGAAACGATTACTCCGACGGGAAGTGAATAAAAATGCGGAAATATTAAAATGTAACACAGGGAGAGGAGCAAAAGCGGTTCAACCCTCGATGCAAAACGGCAAACCGTCGAATTAATTTCCCCTCAGGGGCTCCCAAGGATTCGGCTCTGGGAGGATCAATAAACGGTGTCATTACAAGATTCGTAGCTCCTTTCACCCATTGTTACCCCTTCGGGTCGGGGCAGGGTTGAATTGTTAATCCTGATTACCTCTGTACCCCTGGTACTTCCACTCACCCCGGCACCACCTCGACCCCTTTCTACCCTCGCGACTAATGTCTCTCCATTAATGTCGCACCTCCCAAAGCGAAGATAATATCCTTGTCTGCGAAAGACCTGCTCGTGTTCCTCGGGGTACACGTCGTTACCGTGTGCCTTTATTCATCGATTCCAGGACGGCTCCTTCGCCAGCGAACTCGGTGGAGTTTCGCGCCAAATCGCTTTTTAATAGGCGGGAGCTCGACCGAACATCTTTACGGAAAGACGCGAAATTTAACACCCAGTCTGAAAGTACATCGCGATAACGTTCCCACATTAAATTCAAATATCCTTTACAGCACTCTATGCCCGTGTACCAGCCATAACACTTAAACTACATGAGGTTACTTTTAAAATAATTACTTTCGAGTGCCATTATTATTATTATTTTTTTCTTTTTGATCGATTCCTCCCAAATCGAATCTATGCGAAACAATTCCTGGTACATAATGTTCCCCTTAAATGAGGCAGTCCACGGGTAGTCGATGACAGATGACACTTGACATGCTATCTAGTCCACGTGTAGCCTCATAGGGACCGTAATTATTCTAGTTATGATTACGCGAAATTAACCCGTTAGCCGATCATCGTTTGCACCTCGACTGAATTTCACCCGGCGATATTGGCCCATCGCGATACGCACTTTATGGGTGCAACGTTCGAGCGTCGGTGCACTTTGCTAATTAATTGAATTATCGAGCGACCTCGATGCCGGATAATGGAATCGAGCCGCGAGTCTTTCCGCGGATCGCGGGATTCTTCGCCCCCGTGATTTGCGGTCGCGTGCGTGTTTCTTCTTAAGCTACGTCCTGAAGGAACCCCTTCTTTACCGACCGAGGAAAAAGGCTCGGTCCTAAAGGTCCGACAGCAAGGAAGCTGCGTATTTAGGTCCATTATTCGGATCGCGTGCGAGTCGCCGATTATCTCGACGATCGGGGATGCTACTCCTGGACGGAGTTTGCTACCGTGAACCGCCATTTCCCCGGGGGTTACTGTGTTACAGGGTTTCTCAACTGTGTAGCCGGTCTTATTCCCGAGATTAAACGTTCCCACCTGCAGCCACTTATCTAACTGCAGGTCGGAAAATGCTCGCTTACCGATCGACATCGAGCAATCGACCATGGATGCCGTTCCCATTTCCCGAAGAGCCGAAACCACGTACCGAGTTCCACCCAACTACATCGACACAGTTGACGGTGACATTTCCCAGTAAAATATCAATCTCGAAGAATGACTCGCCTTGGATTCGCACCTTCGGTCACTTAGAAAAATATCCACTCCTTTAAATATATTTAATGGTTAGAAAATCATTCCCGACAGTTTCTTGACACGTTATGGAAGAGCTTCGAAGAATATTAATAGTGCGCTATCGCGGGGCTTATGTTCGGTAATTGTTACCGAATTTGCATGGAGAACGTCATTAAATGCTGATGTTTAATGCGGTATTTAGTTTCAACGTCGCTCATCGGATCTTCTTTCACGTGAGTTACAAGTAATTCTCGCGAACCCTTGAATTACATGGGCAAAGTGGTGAATGCAGCCTGGAAATTGCCTCGATTTTCGACTTTGCAAAATCCCCGAGCACTACGTGAACGCGTTACGTGCCAGCCGAGAGTTAATTGCGGAGGAAAAAGAAAAACTCATCCACGGCTTCGTGCGCCCGAGCAATGTTTCTCGAAGTTGGCAGACTCTGATGGAACGATTTGCGTTAGGATCGGCCTGCTCCGATTACCCGCCAATAGCTGGAGGGCTTTGGGAAATCGTTCCTCGACTTTTCCTTCGGCAACCGCTGGATTGATAATTGCGTGCAGTATGGGATTCTCCATGGGATCGTGCCGCGAGTTGGAAGGGAATTATGAAATGAACGCAAGTTATGATATCGCGGCTTCTTGTCGGCCCTTACATTCGTGTTCCATGGCCATTTGCATCTTCCAGTCGACCTGTTTTATCAGCGCCCAGGTATTCTTTGGCCAAAAGAAGAATGGTCTCGCGAAAGCAATGGCACGTCCTATTTCGATTGTATATCTTAACGTTAAACGTTTTTCCCCGACTCGAGATATTTCTCCAATTTTTCCATTTGGCAATTGCTGGATTCCTAATTACGTGCAAGGTGGGATTCCCTACGGAATCGTCTCCCGAGTTGGAAGGAAATTATGAAGTGATCGCAAATTATGATGTCGCGACTTCTTGCTGGTTCTTACATTCGTGTTCCACGGCCATTTGCATCTTCCAATCGACCTGTTTTATCAGCGCCCAGGTATTCATTGGCCAAAAGAAGAATGTTCTCGTGAAAGCAATGCCGCGTCCTATTCCGATTACATATCTTAATGATAAACTTTCTTTCCCTACTTGAAATATTTCTCCCACTTTCCTATTTGGCAATCTCTGGATTGATAATTACACGCAGGGTGGGACTCCCAAGAAAATCCTGCCGTGAGTTGGAAGGAAACTATGAAATGAACCATTTGCATCTTCCAGTTAACCTATTTTATCAAACTCAGGTATTCTTAGTCCAAAAGAAGAATACTCTCAGGAAATTAATATCACGTCCTATTTCGATTACGTATTCTAACGCTAAACTTCCTTTGGGTCCGAAGAAATTGGGGAACAGGGCGAAGTTACGTCAGGGAGGCCTTCCAGCTTCTGCTCCAGTTTACACGGTCGGTTTAGGTCTGCACGGTTATTAATTAGGTTAGGTTTGAGTTTGCACGGTTACTTTAGCCCCGAAGAAATCAGGGGAACAGGGCGAAGGCAGCAAGGGACTCCTGCCCCAGTTTACGCGGTCGGTTTAGGTTTGCTCGGTTATCGTCGACTCGGAGTTGGAGTCCCGAGGGAACGTCGGACGAGATCGACGATCCTCGCCCGGTGCACCCGCTCCCCTAATTGACCAAACGATCGTGAGTTACGATACGTGCTATCAGCCTTGAACAATGTACGGATTACTCCGCGGTGGACTGCAAGAGACACTCCCTGCGAGGCATTCATCGCCGCTCGATAACCATGGCGCCTCCGAGACTTATGTAAATACCTGGACCCGAGATACGACCCGCGTGATCCCGATGACACGCGAATGCAAATTCCGCGCCGGCGATGCAGATTGCCCGTGAACCATTGGGGAACCTTTCGTCTTTCGGAGGCTTTCGAGTCATCCATCGCATCGCGCGGAGCGATATCGCCATTCCTGGGGAGAAATAAGCAGCGGGTTATTCAATTGAAATTGACGATCTAGCCATTCCAGTCGGCCGATGATTAAAATACACGGAATACCAGTAATTTCCCATCTATCGATACGTCAAATCGCTTCGGTAGACAGGGAAGTCCGGTAAACGACTCCCCACGTGGCGAAGTTATCCAGTTAGTCAGCTGATAACCGATCGATGATCTTTCTCATTTTTGTGCTTTTGGTGTTTCAGTGACGGCGAGCCATCCACCGCAGAGGCCATGGATTCCTTTGACGAGGCCGAACAGGACGAGACCCACGTGTAAGTATTACAGCCCGTTAATTCGTCGCTAGAATTGCGGGAATTTATTTCAAGTGTTGGGCAATTGGTGCTTTAATTATAATTCCTTGTCCTCGTTCTACCAAACTCGGAGGGAAGAGTTAGGAAATGGTGGAATTATTGTAGCGTTCCCTTGCATCGATTCGCGTCGCGAGTGGAGGGGCCTCAAAGTCATTCCTCCGCGCAATGAGAAAATGTACGAATATCGGTGTTGCCTGCAAAGGGACTCGACGGGGCACGGAGCCGCTGTAACGCAGCAAGTAGGGGTAAATAAAATATAAGAACCGTCGACGAGTCGTCAGACTCGGATGCGGCCTCCCCTTGTTCTCCTGGAGAAGAGCTCCTCCCGGCCGGCGAGCAGGATGCTTATTTAAGGGAGTAAATTATTCAGTCGGGAGTGCAGGATTCCTCGCGCGGGAAAAATGCGTCTACGAGTCGCGTTCCCGTTCGGTCGGCTTGCTCGAGTCATCTCGAAATGAAATTTTCTCCGGGGAAAAAAATGCCTTTGTCCCGAACGGCACACAGTAGAGCCCTGGCTGCGCGAACTCGGCTTTCGAAAAATTCTGAGAGCTCGAAGGTGGCTCCCAAAAATCGATGCTCGCTAAAATTATTAGATTTTCGCATCACGAGGCTGATTGCGCCATCAGACACACTCGCTGAAGCGAATCTTTTTTCGGGTAGAGAGAGAGCATCCTTTGCTCGTATTTTTTTTTTGACTGCGCGAACTCGCCTTTCGAAAAATCCTGAGAGCTCAAAGGTGGCTCCCAAAAATCGATGCTCGCTAAAATTATTAGATTTTTGCATCACGAGACTGATCGCGCCATCAGACACACTCGCTGAAGCGAATCTCCTGAATTTTTCGGGTAGAGAGAGAGCATCCTTTGCTCGTATCTTTTTTTTGACTGCGCGAACTCGCCTTTCAAAAAATTCTGAGAGCTCGAAGCTGGCTCCCAAAAATCGATGCTCGCTAAAATTATTAGATTTTTGCATCACGAGACTGATCGCGCCATCAGACGCACTCGCTGCAGCGAATGTCCTGAATTTTTTGAGTAAAGAGAGAGCATCCTTTGCTCATACTTTTTTCAATTTTTTTTTGTGCGACTATGGTCGGGCGAAATTTTAAGGAGCCTCCAGCGAAGTCAAAGCCAAAGCAGGATTTCATCCGTGCGCGTTTTGACTTTGGATGGACATTTTATGCGCTAGTCGTGCGGACTACGTAAATCAATATCGCGCGCGGATTAGTCCCCGTAGATGGAGCTCGTTTCGTTTAATTCGTCGTAATTGGATTTTCACGATGTTAAAAAAAACCCGGGGAAAGTCCCGGTGGCCGTGCCTTCGAATTTCGCGGATCCGTCGTAATTAACCGTATTTAAGCGTCCATTATCCTCTGCTGCTTTGCATTCGCGTCGGGAAAATATCGCGGGCGACCATCGGCCCGATTACATCGTTCAGGGGAGGATAATTGATAGCAGTTATTAAGATCGCCTTTGTCACGAAATTACCGTAACGGACAATACATTATACGTTCGCGCCCGACGAATCGCCGCCCAAGGGAGGCTCATAACTCAGAGACAATATGACGCCGTTAATGCATCCTAATAACAACGGCGGTGCAGGTAATTGATAATCACGAGATCACCGAGGGGCGGGCCGTGTCGAAGGAAGAACACCGTCTCGCCGAAGGCGCGACTTCTTTGGTCCCAAAGCGGAAATCGCAACGCCGAGTCCTCGCATAATCTGCATCTTTTTATCACGCGACGGCTTATCGGACTATTTTCGGTAACTCCGCCTGAGTACATTTCCTCTATCTAATTAAAGAAAATTCTCCAATTTTCTGTCTCGCAAATAAGGATTAGAGTTTAAGGAACCAGGCAATGGTATCGTAAATTGCGGTGCATCCTTCGAGATGTTCAAAAGGTCATACAAGTATAATGCAGATTGCGGGTACGTTTCTTTTTTAATTTTATTTCCAACCACCGCGACGACCACCGTGCAATTTGTTTTTGGCTATGTCAACTCCCGAGTGCGAATGGAAAACATGAGATTTTTCGCCTCGATTCCTATGAATCCATCGTGGCCACGATCCAGACTCGCGACCTGCAGTGCCACGAGCGTTGCAGCCTATGCAAGCGGTGCAACGAGCTTTCGAGTTGTGACATTTGCTTTGCAGTGTTCTATTATTCCTGGGAGCAGGAGCGCGAATCGAGGCGCGGCGTTCGGTTTATTATTCTCATAGGCGTTTCTGCAAGTCCGAAAGAAGTCCCATAGCGGTGGGAATGCGATTCGCGAGCGGGTTCCTCGCGGAAGGTGCACGTTGCACACGCGGGGGCGTGATCGAGGTATTTATCGAGGTGCACTCGAGGGAGATCGAGCTCCCTGGAGGAGACGTCGTGACTGCGGCATGAAAACCCGGCATTGTCGAGCCACTGCACCAGACCGGCTGTCCCATTCTCGAGCATCGAGACCGCGGATGCACCGGGTCATGCAGTCTGGCGACACGCGCGGAGTATGCAACTGCACCGGTCCCTGCACTCCGGCATGAGTCCCGGTATATTATGCCAAACGCATCTTTACTCGGTTGATCGACTCCTTGGGAGATTTCCCCTCGAAAAGGAAGCCTGCACCCTCTAATCTTGCAACCTGACTCTCGAATGCACCGGGTGCATCTCGACGCACCTTATACGAGGAGATCCATTCCGGGCACTCGACAAAGCGAATCGTTTATAACGGATCGGTCAGTAAATTTCCGAATCGAAGAAAAAATAGTCGAAGCGCTTGTCATGAATGATAAGGGAAACCCTCTCTTATCGCGGCGACTCCCGTATTTGGGTTTGCCCTCCAAGCAGGTCGTTAAATCGGCCAGACTGGCGCGAGGATCGATGTCAGATATAACGATTATTTATCCCCGGTCGCCGATTTCGCTATAGTTCGCCTCCCGCGAATGAGGGATTCACCGAGGCCGATTTATGGGAGCGATAAAGCGCATTGCCGATTTCGTCCGCGAATCGGGCGCGAGCGGCCGAGCCTGTTTATTTATTGCGGCCGATCCTCGCCGGCAGTTTGTCTGGCTCGGAAGTTTAATTTAGTTGGTTGATCGCGACGGGCCAAGTTATGCACTATTACGCGATGCACCAGGCCGAGCCGCCCGCCCGGGATAACGCCGATAGGGCGCTATCCTCTGGGATAGCTCCTGGTGGCCGAGCTGATATATCGGCCCGTAAGTGTCCGCTCTTACTACGAAACGCCGTTAACCGCTAACGCAAAGCCGCCCTCCAACACCCTGCAATCACCGGTGCATCCCGAATCTATTGCGCTATTTGTCAGGCCCCGCGTGGATCCGTTGCATCCGCCGTAAATCATTTCCAATCGTGACTCCTGACCGTTTCTTGGCCGGGATTTTTCCTTCGGTGCATTTAGTATTTATCCGACTGCCACGTCGGACGTTGCCGTAATGGCCTGGCTCGCGTACAGATACCTAGGTGCATGCGCGCATGCACTTGCAGCGGAACTCAGCCGGGCCACGCGGCGTCCTTTCGCGCGAGGAAGAAAGAGTCGGCTTTCTGGAATTATACGCGATTCCACATGGATTAATGATCAAGAAATGTTGGCTCCCATGTGACTCATCTGATATATCGTCCAGTAAGTGTCGCCGCCACAATGAGAAACAGTTAACCCCCGCGTTATCACTGGCTGCACCTCGCTGCATCTCGCAATCGCCGTCGTACGTAATCGCCGGTGCATCCCGATCCTGTGGCACTATTTCTCGGGCTTCCTGGAGATTGCTTGCTTCTGCGGTAGCAAAGTAACATCGAAATGTGACTGGGGGGCTATTTGATGCTTCTTTTCTCCCTCGACTAGCTGGCCGTGCCGTTTCTTGCGCGAGAGGTAAATTCCTATTTTTCGGATCCGGCGAATCCGGAATGGAATCAATGGGACGCGAACTCTAGGACTCGGTCTGATATATCGACTCGTAAGTGTCCGGTCTTACAGTAAAGCACAGTTAGGTCCCCGTTAACGCCACCGACGGTTGCAGACGAGGTGCAGCGAGCTGCATGCGCGGTGCATCGGCGCATCCCGAATTCACGACGGTGCACCTCGGCTCCGTGAATTGTCATCGAGTCGGGGGAGGAAGGTGGGTAGGTGACCGCGAAATTGCTCCAGTTTACGGCCATATTCCTCCGTGGATCTCTGTACCCCTTATTATCTCTGCGCACGTACCTCCAAGTGCACTTAGGACTGTGCCCAAGATCACGCGACCACGTTTAGGCTAGGACAAACAATCGACGAGTGATTCCAGGCTCGGATCATTCTCCTAGCCTTTTATCCTCGGCTTTGTGTTTCCAGTTTTCCGGAAAAAAAAAAATATATATATAGTCGCTATGAGATGATTTCATAAATAATAGAACGACTCGCCGAGTGCGCTCCCTTTTTCGTCGCTCGTCATCTCGCGGGGATTTCTCCGGGAATATTCCGCAAGCTCGCCGCCTTTCTCCCGAGCAATTTGCATTCGCGGAATAATAGATGTTCCTCTTGTAACCAGTTTCTCGGTTGAAAAATGACGGAGAGGGGCCCGCGAGCCGCGGACTACTCCGCGGGGCGAAATTGAATCGGTATCGTGGGAGCTCTTTCCGGACGCACCCCGGGGTGCAATAGCTTACGGGGCGTCGCGACGCCGCACTTTGCCCGCCGTCGGCCATTTTAATGGGACCGCCGTGTTTAACGGCGTTCCCGGCGATCGGCGTCGCCCTTAATGGATTTTAATGCCGAGATCGTTAGGCCAGGGCGTATCACTTTAAATCGATCGCGGACAACCCGCGCGGCTATAAACACGTCGACGCGCCGACGTTAAAGCCGTTCCGACCGCACATGATAATAATACATGTACAAACGACGTTGCCTTCCCACATGCATAGTAAAAATAAATGAGAATTGTTTCATTTATCGAGCTGCACCTCAGATCCGCGTTCGTCGCACAAGGAATA